GTGTGTGTGTGTGTGTGTGTGTGTGTGTGTGTGTGCGTGCGAGTGTGCGTGCGTGCATCTGTGCCCATCCCTCTCTGTCTCTGCATATATCTCTCTCCTGGTATCTCTCTCTCCCAGTCCCCCTTCCCTTCTTTCCCTCCCCTTCTCTCTGTCACTCAGTTGTCTCTCTCTCTTTTTTCTCTCTCTCTCTCCCTCCCTCCTAGTTGACTCTCTCTCCCAGTCTCTCTCCCTCCCCTCTTTCTCTGTCTCTACAACTTGTGGTTGATCAGCCGTGAGCTCCAGTCATGCCTGCTCTGTGGGTTGTTTTGCTCATGGTGCCTCCTCATAGCTATAGAACAGTAACAAAAACAAATACCAAAACACAACAAGCCTGCCACAGTAGAGGCAGCATGGTACAGAATGGTGAAAACTGGACTCCTCTTCCAGAGGTCAGGAAAAGAAATAAAAAGAGGCTTGTCCTTAACTATTTCTAATCAACATTGTCAGCACTCTTAGTCAATTAAGACAATAGACAAACAAAAGGTTACAGATAAAAGGAAATAAAGTTGCCTTTTTTTACAGATAACATGACAGTATACAGAAAATTCTACAGAAAAAAAAAAAACTCATAAATTTGTCAAGGATCCAGGGCACAAGTTCAACATACCATCATCAATTTTACTATTACACCCCATCAAAATAATTTTAGAAAAATGATGAGTAAAATCCTTGTCTGTTTGAGACAGGGTCTTCCAGTGTAACTTAGGCTGGCCTGGAACTAACTATATAGATCAGGCTTTCCTCAATCTCATGATGATCCCCCCACCTTTGCCTCCCAAGTGAAACAATGCTATTTACAGCAGCATCTAATAAATTTCAGAAAATGTAAAGGGTGGCTCCATGGGTAAAGCACTTTTTGTGCAAGCCTGATGACCTATGTGAGGTCCCCAGGCCTGTGTGTCCCGGTTTGCTTTCCATTGCCGTAATAAACACCAGAAACAACCTATGGAGGAGAGGGGTTGTTTGGCTTAACTTCCCCATCAGTCCATCATTGAAGGAAGTCAGGGCAGGAGTAAGGATGGAGCCACAGAGAACGATGACTTGCTTACTGGCCACTTAGTGGCTTGTTTCCTCTGGCTTCTGTTTAGCTACTTTTCTTCAGTAGGCCAGGACCTACAGCAGTGATCCAGCCCCTCCTACAATAGTTAACAATTAAGGACTGCCCCCCAAGACACTACCACAGGCTATTCTGATGGAGGCAGTTCCTCAGTTGAGGTTCCTTCCTCCAAGGTGACTGGTGTGTGTCAAGCTAACGAAGACCAATCAACACTCTAGAAAACGTGGAAGGAGAGAAGCAAGTCACAGAATTGTGCTCTGAGCTCCCCACATGCACCATGGCTCATTTGTGCGCCCACATGTATACAATAATCACAAAATGTTTATAAGAACCATACCCTGGGGCTGGAGAGATGGCTCAAAGGTTAAGAGCACTGACTGCGCTTCCAGAGGTCCTGAGTTCAATTCCCAGCAACCACATGGTGCCTCACAACCATCCGTTATGAGATCTGGTGCCCTCTTCTGGTGTGCAGATATACATGGAAACAGAATGTTATATAAATAATAAATAAATAAAATCTTAAAAAATACAAAAAAAAAAGAGAACCATACTCTGAAACAAAATGTTGCTGAGAGAAATTAAACATGGACGGAAAAACACAGTACCATCAAGAAGTCAATTCTTGCCACTGGGGAGATGGCTCGGCCTAAGAGCACTTACTGCTCTACCAGAGGTCCTGGGTTTGATTCCCAGCACCCACATGGCAGCTCACAACCGTCTGGAACTCCAATCCTAGTGGATCCGATGACCTCTTCTGACCTCTCTGACCAATGCTCACACACAGTGCACAGACATACATGCAGTTAAACACATACATGTATGAGCCAGCTCGTCAGACCTGGGTGGCATCTGAGGCATTACCAGGCCCAGGAGAAGTTAGCTTTGAGAATGAGAAGTTGGATGGGATTCTTGGCCATCAGCTGATGGCTACATGTGGGTGTTGTGTAGGTGGAACCTTGCTGGAGGAAGGTGGTGGACTTATGGTTAAGGCCCACCCAGTTTCTGTTGAACTCTATTTCCTGATCAAAACTATGTAACAACCAGTTGCCAACCCCCTTTCCCACACTCCCACCACTGTGTGCCCACCCCTGCCGTGCGGTGCCGTGCCATGCCAATTGCTGTTATGGACTATATAGGTCCTCCACCAGAAACCAAGGTAAATCTTTCCTGATTGAAATTGCTTTTTGCAGGTTTTTCTTTTTAAACATGTATGAGTTTTACCTGGGTATATTTCTGTGTATCATGTGCTTACAGTACCCAAGGATGCCAGCATAGGGCACCAGATCTGCAGGATTGGAGTGACAGAAGGTTGTGAATCTCTGTATGGATGCTGTGATATGAAGCCATATTCGTCCTCTGGAAGACTAACCAGTGCTTTGTTTTGTTTTGTTTTTCAAGACAGGGTTTCTCTGTCCTGGAACTTGCTCTGTAGACAAGGCTGGCCTTGAACTCACAGAGATTCTAACCAGTGTGTTTAACCACTGAGCTATCCCTCCAGCCCTCCTGCAGGGTTTTATCACAGTAGAAGAATAGTAACTAACAGGGTACTCATGCTGAAAGGTAGAGTCTGTGTTCTAGTCAGTGGAAGAGTGAAGAAATATATACAAGATGAATTTTTGAAATTGATACAAGAAATATATTCAAGATTTGTTTTTAGCAGCTACCAAGTAATTCAAGTTTTTGTTTGTTCGTTTTTCAACAAGTGGTGCTGCAAATGTGAGAAGTTGGCCCACTGGATTTGTGGTTTCTTCATCTACAGAGTTAGTCAATCATGGGTGAAAAGTATTTTTTAAAACTTTTATCTCCACCAGGTGGTGGTGTTATACTCCTTTAATCCCAGCACTCAGGAGGCAGAGGCAAGCAGATCTCTGTGAGTTCAAGGCCAGCCTGGTCTAGAGAGTGAGTTCCAGGACAGCCAGGGCTACACAGAGAAACCCTGTCAAAAAAAAAAAAAAAAAAAAAAGCAAAGCAAAACAAACAAAAAAACCCATAACACTTCTATCTCCACTCTACATGAAAAGACTTTTATCCCTAGTTATTACCCTATAAATAATACAGTATAGCTACTCTTCATCTAGCATCTACATTGTACTAGATATTACAAAGATAACAGGAGGATGTGTGTAGGGTACATGCAAATACTATGTTTTCATATAAAAGACTTCCGAATCTTCAGATTTGGGTGTCTGTGGGGTATCCTGGAAGTAACTACCCAAATATACGGAGAAGATCCTGGGAATGATTGCATTTGAGTAGAAAACTATAAGCCTTACCTTACTTAACACCATGGAATGGGGGCTGGAGAGATGGCTCAGAGGTTAAGAGCACTGACTGCTCTTCCAGAGGTTCTGAGTTCAATTCCCAGCAACCACATGGTGGCTCACAACTATCTATCATGAGATCTGGTGCCCTCTTCTGGCGCATAGGCAAACATGCAGACAGAACACTGTATATGGAATAAAAATAAGTAAATAAATGTTTAAAAAAACGTATGTCAGAAAACATCAAAGAAAAAACACTGTGGAGAAAAGTTAATCATGGTCACTTTGGCAGTACATGCACTAAAATTGGAACGAGACAGAGAAGGTTAGCCTGGCCCCTGTGCAAAGATGACACATAAATTCATGAAGCGTTCCAGAGGGAGAAGGAGAGAGAAAGAGAGAAAAGCTAACTGTTGGGGAATCTTATTTTAAGATGTATTACAGCCGGGCATTGGTGGCGCATGCCTTTAATCCCAGCATTCGGGAGGCAGAGGCAGGCGGATCTCTGTGAGTTGGAGGCCAACCTGGTCTCCAGAGTGAGTGCCCGGATAGGCTACAAAGCGACACAGAGAAACACTGTCTCGAACACCCCCCCCAAAAAAAAACAGATGTGTTACATTTGTTTATGCTGTGGAACATTTGTTTAATGATACAAAGATATGTTGTTATGTTACATTTGTTTAACTCTGTGAAGCTGTGTTCTTTGCCTGTCTAAAATACCTGATTGGTTTAATAAAGAGCTGGAGGCCAATAGCAAGGCAGGAGAAAGGATAGGTGGGGGTTAGCAGTCAGAAAGACTAAATAGAAGAAATCTGGGAGGAGGGATCTAGTTACAGGATGAGGAGGAGGACTCCAGGGGCTGGCCACTCAGCTACACAGCAAGCCATTGAATAAGGTAAAGAAAGGTATAAAGAATATAGAAAAATAAGCCAGGCATTGGTGGCACACACCTTTAATCCCAACACTGGGAAGGCAGAGGCAGGCCGATCTCTGTGAGTTCAAGGCCAGCCTGGTCTACAGAGTGAGTTCCAGGACAACCTCCAGAGCAATACAGAGAAACCCTGTCTTGGAAAAAAAAAAGAATAGAGAAAAATAAAAGCCCAGAGGCAAAAGATAGACAGGATAATTTAAGAAAAGCTGTCAAGAAACAAGCCAAGCTAATAAGCATCTGTGTGATTTATTTTTTTGGGGAGGGGCACAAAGGGCCAAAAGAGTAAAAACCAACCAACTACAGTTAACTGCAAGTAGACCACAGACATCAATCAAGAAAACCACTGAAATGAGAAACAGGGGTGGCTTTTATAACTTTATGATAGACAACATTTTAAAACAAAAGAAAGAAGATAACTTGGGTTTAACAAAAGCTGTATTTCTTCGCCTTTTCTGAGACACCATTAAGATTCCTAAGAAATCGGGCATAGTGGCTCCAAGTCCTGCCATCCTAGCTCTTGGGAGGTTGAAGCAGGATGATTGCCTTGAAATTTGAGGCCAGTCTGGACTTCATAGTGAGTTCAAGCCAACCTGGGCTATCAGGCAAGACCCTGTCTCAGAAAAAAAAAAAAAAAAGAAAAAGAAAAGAAAAGAAAATCACTCACTAAAGGTGGTGGTGCACACTTTTAGTCCCAGCACTCAGGAGGCAGAGGCAGGGGATCTCTGTGAATTCAAGGCCACCCTGGTCTACATAGTGAGTTCTAGGGCTGCTAAGGGTAGGCATAGAAACCATGACTTGAAAATCTAAATAAATAAATGAGTCAAAACAGGTTAAGAGATTTAAACAGACATGCTACAAAACTACACAGATAATCAGGGGGCTTGGGCTTGGGCGCAGGAGAAGATTCATAGCATTAGTCATCAGGGAACTACTGGCCCTCATCTCTGCTTAGAAGAAATGACTGATAGTGTGGAACTTTGGTAGGACACAGAATAGCATTTCTGAGAGAAGTCTAAGAGGGCGCAGCCCTTTGAGGAAACAGCTTGGCAGTCCCTCACAGAGGTGGACATGCTTATCATAGGACCCAGCAACTCCATTCCTTGGTGTTTGCCAGGAGTAATGACAACTTACATCGTCCCAAGATGAGGACATTTACGACAGCTTCATTAGAGCCCAACTGGACACAGTACTAAGTTCTAAACTGCTAGGGTTCAGTCCAAACATTGAAACCACATGGTAACTTGAAAGAGGGAATGTAGTAGTAGGTATTTTACTCTTTTGACTCTTGAGGGGCCCACCATCCAGCTCCCAAACAAATCATACACAGAGGTTTATTCTTACTTAAGAATGCCTGGCCTTAGCTTGACTTTTTTCTTGCCAGCTTTTCTAAACTTAAATTAACCCATCTACCTTTTCCCTCTGGGCTTTTATATTTCTTCTTTTTTTTTTAAGATTTTGTTAATTTATTATGTATGCAACATTCTTTTTCCGTGTATATCTGCACACCAGAAGAGGGCACCAGATCTCATAACGGATGGTTGTGAGACACCATGTAGTTGCTGGGAATTGAACTCAGGACCTCTGGAAGAGCAGCTGGACTTCTTAACCTCTGAGCCATCTCTCCAGCCCCCTTTCTTATTTCAGTATACCTTACTTTCCTTATTCCGTGGCTGGCTGGGTGGCTGACCTCTGATGTTCTCCTCTCCTTGTTCTCACCTAGCTGCTCCCTTTCCTCTTTTCTCCTTCTATTTATACCCTTCGCCTGTCAGCCCTGCCTATCCTTGCTCCTGCCTCACTATTGGCCGTTCAGTTTTAGACAGGCAAAGAATCACAGCTTCACTGAGTTAAAAAAAAAAAAAGCAGCATAAACAAAAGTTACACACCTTAAAATAATATTCTACCACAAGGGAATTCCTTTATATAATTATTTAAGTTGTTTGTTCTGGTTTGTTTTTGGTGCTTTTGAGACAGGGTTTCTCTATGTAACAGCTCTGGCTGTCCTGGTATTCTGTAGACCAGGCTGGCCTCAAACTCACAGAGATATGCCTGCCTCTGCCTCCCGAGTGCGTGTGCCACAACTACCTGTTAACTCTATCTTCAACTACCCAGCAAGTTTCTTGTTTGTTTGTTTTTGTTTTGAAGGCATGTTTTCACTATGGGACCCAGGCTAGTTTGGAACTCAATATGTAACTTAAACTGAGGCCAGGGATAACTCATTATGTCCAGCTTAACAAGGAAATTTTAATGTAAAAAAAAAAAAAAAAAAAAAAAAAAAAAAAAAAAAAACAGAAAATGATCACTTTAGTCAGGTGTGGTGGCTGATGTCTGTAATCCAAAAACATGGAGGCAGGAGAATCATGGTAAATTCAAGGCTACCCTGGGCTACATGGTGAGGCCTTGTCTCTAGAAAGATAAATGATTAAAATAACCCAACAATTTGGCAGTAGAACAGTTATGAAGGTGCAAAAGGAACTGGAAAAGCCTGATGTAGTTCAGTGGTAGATTGCTTGCCTGGCATACACAAGGCCCTGAGTCCAATTCCCAGTACTTTATACAAAGCAATCTAAAGACTACCCTAAAGCTGAGGGAAGTTACCTGAGAAACAAATTGGAAGAAGAGACTCTCCTGGAAGCTGTGATTTAAACTTGTGGGAAAACAAGTATGATAATATAAGAAGTATACTGGAAGCCTGGGAGTTGAAATTGGGCTTCAAGCTTCAAGCTGAAGATCAGAGAAGCAAAGCAGCCAACCACTATTTCTTACCTCTACCTCAACTCAGACCAAAGGGGCAACCTCAGACTGCTCACGACTTCACTGCTCCTCAGAATTCACTCAGACTATTATGCTTTCCTCAACGTGACTGGAGAATCATGAGACTTCAATATCTCTCTGTACTCCAAGTGCCTGGAGAATGAATGTCAGCTCTGAGACCCTGCTCCTGTCTTATATACTTCCCTAATTCTGGGATTAAAGGCATGTGATCCCAGGTGCTGAGATCATCTTTGTGTGAGCTGTTTCTCTTTAGGATTGAATCAATCTTGTGTACTACTTATTCCTGAGTCCTGGGATTAAAGGTGTGTGCCAGGCTTCTACGACTTGTGGCTGACTTTGCTTTCTGAATCCTCAGGCAAGCTTTTATAAATCATAAATAATCTGTCACCACAGTGGTGATGGCGTACACCTTTAATCCCAGCACTCAGGAGGTAGAGGCAGGTGGATCTCTGTGAGTTCAAGGTCAACCTGGTCTACAGAGTGAGTTCCAGGACAGCCAGGGCTACACAGAGAAACCCTATCTTGAAAAACAAACAAAAAAGCAGTAGTAGTGGTATGCTGGGCCACCCAGGCTGGACTTGGTAGCAGCAGCACCCAAGTATAGGTAGGTGACAACTAGCAGAAGTGCCCAAAATCATGAGCCTACTTGCAGACGGAATGGTGCAAGGCCTGGTGTCCACACGGGGAGGGATGCTGGAAACACCCTTCAGGGAGCTGGTGAGCAGAAGCTGGGAGTTGGTGTACAGGAGTCAAGAATGTCAGGGCCAGCTGGGCTGAGCAAGACCGGAGGCGGCCAGTGTCCTCAATGGGAACGCTGTTCAAGGTGGCTCTGGGCTAGGGATATATTTTTGCAGGTGTTAATGTAATGGGGACACATGGCCAGGGCAAGACACTAATAGCTATATCCCATGCAGTGGAGGAAGGAGAGTAAAACAACCTCCCTGGAACCAGGAAAGGAAACGCAAGGGCCTGCCTGCTGCGATGGCTCTGCAGCGCCATCTACTGACAAAACCTCATACTCTCACTGAAGGAGCCCCTTAAAGCAGAGGTTCTCAACCTGAGGGTTCACCCCTCTGGGGGTTGAACAATCCTTTCACGGGGTCACCTAAGACCATCAGAAAACACAGATACTTACATCACGATTTGTAACACTAGCAACATTACTGTTACGAAGTAGCAACAAAATAATTTTATGGTTGGGGGGTCACCACAACAATGAGAAGCTATATTAAGGTGTCACAGCAAACACTGCCTTAAAGGAACTGTGCCACCATGGAGGAACAGGTAATGGAGGGTAGATTGGAAGATGTGTAACTGCCATGTCTCCCCACAGGTGGGAAAAGCCACCTGTATGTGGCATACTGATTGGGGCAACTGTTTAACACTACTATTTACAAGCAAAAACAAAGATGACCTGCCAAAACAATGAAAAAAAACTGCAGGAAAGAAAAGGCACAATGGGAAATACCATCACATTAAATTCTAGAACAATCAAGGCTAGTCTGCAGGAGGGGAAATATCAATTGGTAAATTAAGTGTAATGGCTCAGGCTTGTAATTCCAGCACTCAGGGAGCTGAGGCAGGAGGATCAAGCACTCAAGAGATAGTCTGGGTTACATAGCCACACCCTATCCCCCCAAACAAATTGACAAAAAAGAATGCATTGTATCTTCTGTAATT